CTTGCTCTCCCCCCCCCCCATGTGTGAAAGAGCTCCAGTTTAAAAATAAACATAATTTCACACTTTGGTAACTATAGTGTGGTATCCTTTCAATCCACCAATTTTTGTGCACATATAAACAGACTATGCTCATTATCGGGATATAAAATAGGATTGGCTTATTTCTGTGTAGACTAAAGTCATGATTAGAACTAGTCTGGCTTCTCTTCCTTTCCACCTGCCCGTAAGTCCCTTAGCTTATTTAAAGTTATAAAACATTCAGAAACTGGAAGGAAGGAAGGAAAGGGGGGGGGAAGACAATAAAGGAAAACCATTTTGCTCACTGTTCTCCAACTTACCCCAAGATTACTAGTAATTTGGTAAACAAAGTAATTTTATGCTGATGCAAATTAGAGCTACATTTGCATGTATAGAAACAGCAACCTCTCTTTCAAAAATCATTCATATCGTTTAGTTATTTAGTCGTGTCCGACTCTTCGTGACCCCATGGACCAGAGCACGCCAGGCCCTCCTATCTTCCACTGCCTCCCGGAGTTGGGTCAGATTCATGTTGGTTGCTTCGGTGACACTGTCCAATCACAAAAATCATTAGATTCCCCCCATTTTTAAAAATTACAGAATACATTCTTCAGCAACCAGTGTTCCTAAAAAGTTAAAGGCAACGTCTCCATGCAATTCCAGGTTTTCCCACTTGCAACAGCCCTCTTTTTCATTCTAGGTGACCTGAATCTTTCCTCCAACATATCAGCAAACAAAAATAAGATTTGACAGTATCTTTGTTAGTTTCAAAGGGACTCCGAGTTCACACCACCGCCATTTTTATGAGCCTGATACCCACCTCTAGATTAGTGTCTGGTGTCAGTAACGGACTGGATGAGGGTGAATAAACTAAAACTTAACTCTAGACAAGACAGAAGTGCTCCTGGTCAGTCGAAAGGCAGATCAAGGAATAGGGATGCACCTGTGTTAGACGTGGTTACATTCCCTCTGAAAACCCAGGTGTGCAGTCTGTGGGTAGACAGACTGAATTCGTCTCCGAGTCTGGATGTCTAGGTTTGGGATGTGGTCTAGACAGTCAAAAGGCACCAGAGCAAGGAATAGGGATGCAGCCTGTGTTAGACGTGTTTACACTCCCTCTGAAAACCCAGGTGTGCAGTCTGTGGGTAGACAGACTGAATTCGTCTCCGAGTCTGGATGTCTAGGTTTGGGATGTGGTCCAGAGTGTGTGTTTGCACAGCTAAAACTAGTGCTCCAGCTGCACCTGTTCCTGGAGAGGTCTCCAGAGCAAGGAATAGGGATGCAGCCTGTGTTAGACGTGTTTACACTCCCTCTGAAAACCCAGGTGTGCAGTCTGTGGGTAGACAGACTGAATTCGTCTCCGAGTCTGGATGTCTAGGTTTGGGATGTGGTCCAGAGTGTGTGTTTGCACAGCTAAAACTAGTGCTCCAGCTGCACCTGTTCCTGGAGAGGTCTGTTGAGTGGAGTTTTAAATATATTTTATTTCACATTCAGCCTGGGCTGGATGGGATTAAACTCCATCTGAAAACACTTGTGCACAGCTTGGGGATGCTTCCTAGATTCATCTCTAAGCCTGGATGCCCAGATTTTTGGTGGTGGCCAGGAATACCTTTGCACAATTAAAGCTAGTGCGCCAGATGCACCTGTTTCATGAGAGGCTGGCTTTTATTGACTGACTGTTGTATTTCTGTTTTTAATGTGTTGGTAGTGCGCCAGATGCGCCTGTTTCTTGAGAGGCTGGCTTTTATTGACTGTTGTATTTCTGTTTTTAATGTGTTTTTGATACTGCTTTTACTTATAAGTGTTATTATATTCAATTCTTTCTTGCTATTGTTTTTACTTTTGATATTGTTTATTTTAACACTGCGAGCCTTCTTGGATCTTTTAACAAGAAAAAAAGGTGACATGTAAACATTTCAAATGAAATAAAAATATTCTGTTAATATAAATCTTTGGCACAATACATTCCACTTCAGTGCTGAATGTGTGCCTGTGTTCATGCCAACCATTTTGCCTTAGTATGCATGACAGCACCGAGTACTCACGGGAGAACCCACACCCTGTGTTGCAAACGTGCTTCTGAGAGTCAAGACAGAATGCACCACATTTAGCAAAGAATCATGGTTTCATTAAATGTAGAAGCATGGTGTAAAATATTCCCTGAAACACAATGCTAGTATTTGGATCCCACACCTCAAATACTGGCTGACATCTAGTGGTAAATCACAATTAGAGGAGGCCCATTGAATCAGTGAGGATTTGGGGACTCAACTCCTCCATGTGTTCCACTGATTCAGTAGACCAAAATCTAATTGAGACTTATTACTGGATTTCAGCCGTCAACGTAAAAGCTATGAAGGAAGCCATGCCTTCGTCTGAGCTACTCACTGCTACAGCAAAATCCTACTCTTTTTCCCTGCTTTCCCCCCGCCCAACCTCAGCATGTTGCTTCTAAAATTAGTCACAGCTGTGATTGCAAGGCCAAAAGTGGTTACCTACCATTTTATTTGCATTAAAAATATACGTGTGTATGACTTTCCATTTTTCCTGCTCTCAAAAGTAACAACAGATGCTTGTTAAAATAATTCTGAATGACACTAGTGGCCGACCTTTAGCTCCAAACAACAACTTGTCTATCTTGTTGTCATCTTAACACCTACAACAAAGCACAAGGCAAGACTGTGTGACAGTGCACAACTTTGCACATCAACCACAGATTCCTCCTCCATCATTTAATGAGGCCACACCACTTTTCCTACAGAAGTAACTTTTAAAAGTTATAATTAAACCACAGAAGTTATATTACTTTTTGTTAAACCAGAATCATAATGTAATTTAGTTATACACTTCCTAGTCTGTGGAGGATTGCAAATTGCAGGTAAATACAGTAGTTATTTATGGCTGGTTACTTTGAAGAGCTGAGGTAGGAACAATGTCCACCTCAAAGTCTATTGACAGCACTATACTTATTTTCAAGGAACTATCTTTTCCGCTGAACTGCATGTGTCTACATACTGCCGACAGAAGGTAAAAATGTTCCAGAGACAGAAGAATACTTGTAAATCTTGCCAGGGTATTTGTGTGTTGACACTCAAAAGGAGGATGTATACAAAACCCATAACTACCGCAAGATATGCCATGCCATGTCTCTGCTTTGACCACATTTCCTGCATGAACATCAGGCACAGCCCTCCACCACAGGCCCCAGGCTGCACCCACCACCCTTTCTTTGTTTGCTGTGCTTACCTCACCAACCCCACATTACAGGCAAAACGAGTTTGTGTGCTTATGGAAAGAGTTAAAGTAATGCAGTGCAGCTGAATCCAACCATTGCAAAGAGAGAAAGTGCAGAAACTGGTTTCTCAAAGAATCAGATTTTATAGCCACATGATTCCCCCCATGTGAGGCATGAATGTGAGTTTCCCACCCAAAACCAATTCTGTCCACTTAGAAATCATAAAAGTCATAGAAAAGTGAAGTTGGAAGGGGCCTACAAGGCCATCAAGTCCAACCCCCTGCTCAATGCAGGAATACAATCAAAGCGTATCTGCCAGGTGATTATCTAAGTTTTTCTTGAATGCCTCCAGTGTTGGAGCATTTGCCAACTCCCGAGGTAACTGGTTCCACTGTTGTACTGCTCTAACAGGAAGTTTTTCCTGAAATTCAACCAAAATCTGGCTTCAACTTGAGCCCACTGTTGCATGTCCTGCACTCTGGGATGATCGAGAACAGATTTTGCCCTTCTTCCAGTCTTTCAAATATTTGAAAAGTTTGATCATATCACCCCTCTCTCTTCTTTTCTCAAGGCTAAACATGCCTAATTGTTTCAGCTTTTCCTCATAAGGCTTGGTTTCCAGCCCCCTGATCATCCTTGTCATCCTCCTCCGAACTTCTTCCAGTTTGTCAACATCCTTCTTGAAGTGTGGTGTCCAGAACTGAACACAATACTCAAGGTGAGGCCTGACCAGTGCTGAATAGAGGGGGACTAGCACTTTGCGGGACTTGGAAACTATACTTCTATTAATGCAGCCTAAAATAACATTTGCCTTTTTCGTAGCCACATCACACTGTTCACTCATACAGTGGTGCCTTGCAAGACAAATGCCTCGCCGGACGAAAAACTCGCAAGACGAAAGTGTTTTGCGATTGTTGTGGTGACTCGCAAGATGGCTTTTTCTATGGCCATCTTGCAGGATGTTTTTCCCCCCACAAGAGCAATGCCTCGCAAGACAAAAATAATTCATTTGTCTTGCGAGGTTTTCCATAGGAATGGATTGCAATGCATTGCTAAGGGAAACAGCGCCTTTGCAAGATGAAAATTTTGCAATACAACGCTAGTAGCGAAACAAATTACTTTCATCTTGCGAGGCACAACTGTACTCAGCTTGCGATCTATGACAATTCCAAGATCCTTCTCACTCGTTTTGCTGAGCCAGGTATTCCTGCCTCTTATAACTGTGCAACTGGTTTCTTTTCCCAAGGTGCAGTACTTTGTACTTCTCCCTGTTAAATTTCATTCCGTTGCTTTCGACCCAGTGCTCCATCCTATCAAGGTCACTTCATCAGTGTAATATATATATGACTGCAGAGGGAGATGCAAGAATGGAATGGATGCAATGGCTTGTTCAAGAACTCCTAATGCAGGTGTAGGGAATCATCTTGGGGTGATGGATTTTCAACTCCCTCACAAGCCCCTTGCAGGCTGGATGGCATCAAGGAGCTTTTCTATCTAACTGGGTGCTTTCTGAACTTTGGAGCATGTTGGGGGAACGTAGTGCCCAACAGGTGTGCAGCCCCCACTCCCACTGCTTTTAGGAAAGGTGTCAAGAGACTCTTGGCCAGTTGTGTGTCTATGCACATGTTTTTACAGAGTTTTCATGGTATCTGTTTTATTGTTAACTGTATTGTACACTATTTTCCAGAGAAAAAGTAGCGCACAAGTGTAATAGACAGGTCCAATAAACCTGGGTAAACAAAAATGCTTTTTTTTTTTTTTTGCCTAGCACCAAAAGGGTTGCAACACCGGATCCAGGCAGGCCTCTTTGTAGATAATGTTCTAGAGGAGGCACCACTGTAACGATCTTCAGATCCAACACAAAAATGCTACTACCTTCAAAAAACGGAGGCCCCTGAAGGAGGGCTTCATCAAAAACTCAAAGAAGGAATTAGCTGATTTGGGAAGAGGCACTTCTTCCAGTCTTTCTATCATTCGTAGCACCAGTTTTATTGTAACTGCCCTCACCCTTATTCGGACTGCGATGTCGTCCCAGATCTGCTGTTAAAAAGGTTTTTTTTAAAAAAAAACACCCTCTGATGGGTATGCAGAGGGAGCCACATTTTTCCTCCTTTATTTGGTCAGTTTACACTACCGTATGATCAAAAGTCAGAAACGGAGTGTGTGTGTGAGAGAGGTTTCTGTTTAAAAGTCATCCTGACTTTTCAATCATTTGCACAGAATTGGTAGGAAGAATGAATTTTTGGACTAAGAACTGTGATTATGCAGAGCATATTCTAGCTTGCTCCGAGTCAACTACAGAGGTTTCTGGAACTTGCTCTGTATCCAGACACGATGTATCTTCACCCTTTTCTTCCTGTTTACTTGCAGACGTCGAACCATCTCATTCTGTACTTCAATTAAGCCAGCAGATGAGAACAAGTTATGAACTTCATCTGTACGTACAAAACAAAAAAATGAAGTCACACTCACTTAAACAATACACTGATCACAAGGTCTATACCGAAAGCAGCTAATCGGTCCCACAATGCGGGTGAGTGGGGCAGGCATTAAAGCGCAGATCTTCTCATCAGTGGCCCCTACCGTACTGAATCCTTCCTGAGACAGACCATAAAGCTTCCTTAGTGGCTGCTTTTTAAAGGGCTTTGAAAACAGTTTTGTCTCTGTGGCTTTCAAACTGAAAAGGCTTTGCTACGTTTTCTGCTGTTATATATTTGAATGGCTGTTTATTTTAACTGGCTTATTTCAAAGCAAGTTGAACGTAAGTCGATACTACGTTTTATTGCTTTATATTATAAGCCACACTGAGAAGATAACAGTCTTGAAAGGGGAAGAAAAAAAATAAAGATAATAAAATAAAATGAAACAGAAATGTTTTGCTCTTCCTCATGGCAGGTTCCCTCTGCTCTAATTCGGACTTCTCAAGGCAGCACCAAAGATACCGATGTTGTGGAGTGACCCTCTGCTGAACAAGAGAGAGTTTCCACTGAAGGGGTGGGAGCTACATCATCACTTCCGTGACAAGATTTGCAGCCCCACAGAGAAAGCCTATGTTCAAATCCAGCACAAGTGTGTACTGGCAAATCTGGGAACTTTGCTTTAGTGCCAGGATTTGCCAGTACATGCTCGTGCCAGGAAACCTTTGGCCCTCCTGATGTAGTTGGACTCTAGCACTCTAAGCTAGCCTGGCCATGGTGAGGAACAAAAGCATCTGGAGGGCCATAGGTACCTCATCATCTTTTCAGATACTGAAGTGACCAGTAGGTCAAAAATTGATAGTTGTGCTTCACTGCGTAGAGCAGAATGTCACTTCAAGACTGAGCATCAACTTAATTCTGCACTGAGACATCATCAACTAAGGCAAGTTATATAGAAAATGATTAAGGAAATCCTGTGGCAATTTGAAGCTATGGCACCTCTTAAAAAGACTGCCTGGCCGCTCTAAGGAGTAGTTTAAGGAGCCATTCCATCCTCTTAGCCATATGGGGCAAGTTCCTTTTCAAAGTATCTTGACAGCCAAGTTGTGAAAACTAACCCACTAGAAGGGGGGGCGCTTTTTATGATACCACATGAACTTCACTTCTGAATCTCATGCCTGGTGGTAGAACAAAATGCATCAGTCACACTGAAGTTGAAAGCGCTCTCATGAACACCCGCTTCCCCCTCGTTCCCAACACTGTCACAGTTGATGTCAAATATTATGGGAAGCAAATGTGAATTTGGTCACATCTCATAATTAGAAATAAAAGTCCTTTGTAGTCCTAATTTATTTCTGAAACTGAAAAGCTAATTCAGAGTCGCAAACAAGCGATGAGCAAGAAAGATGATCAACCACAGGACTCTGAAGAAAGGCCTCACGCAATTCAGAAGCTGCCCTCCTGACAATGCTGATATATACACATGCCATCCCTGAGATCTGAGGGTTCACAGGGCCATAAGGACCAAGGTTTGGAAACGTATTCCTACCTCAGACTACAATCTTTTGAATTTCCAAGCCAGCATGCCCATACAAGCTTCCAAAGGATTCAACATAACCTGAGGAAACTCAGTACAGAAAACAGCCTCAGTGTTTGCAGGGTCTGTCCAGTCCAAAACCATCTTTAAATACAATCGAAGGATTCTGCTGAAACAATCCTCACAAATGTATAAAATGGGGAGAGTCCTGTTGCTTAGTGTAGCAAATTACACTAGAGTAGGCCCATTGAATCAGTGAGGATTTGGTATGCAAATTCCTCTGTCAATTCCACTGATTCAAATGGGCCTACTCTAACTGTGACTTACTCTACTAAAGTCATTGTTAGAGCAGGCCCATTTGAATCAATGAAACTTAGAGAAAGACAGACTCACCGAGTCTCCCACCGACTCAGTGGGCCTGCTCTAGTGCAATTTGCTGCCCAAGGCAACAGAATATTGGCCCATGTTTCCGTTAATGCTACTCATTCCAGTTAAGTCAAGAGTGGGGAAACCAACACTGCAGTCTCTAATCCCCATCTGTATTCAGGGAGGTGGAGGAGATACGGCCACAGAAAGGGTGTGTGTGTTATCTAAACTTTTTATTTCAGGACCACATCTTGTCACGAGGCAGAAAGATGTCTCTGCCAACAGCCCACATTTATTTAGGTTAAAGTGATTATGCAAACCATGATTACACAAGAAAGCACTAATGGCCAAGGATAAATGCTTTGCTTTATCTTAGCAGGAAATTTCAGTCCAGTCTGTTCTGTACAGTTGCCAGTTAAATAACAATTCTTTACACTGTGTTTTTCAGAGGTATGGCAACCCATCCTGAATCCTTGATGAGAGGGCAAAAACATGTTCAAAACAAAGTGATACACGAAGAGTTGATAAATGTTGGTTTTAATTAACACAGAGGGACCAAAAGAATTTCTCTGCTTGCAAGCTTTTACAGAAAAAGCATCCAGCTATTGAGAAACTGAATGTGAGGGATTCAAAATTACTGCAAAGTCTGGATCCCTGCAGGGGTGGGTAGCTTGTGGCCGTCCAGACATTGGAAAACTGCAACTTCCACAACAACCCACCACTGGCTATACTGACCAGATGGTAACTGGAGCCCTGCAGCATTTGAAGGGACAAATCCCATAATTCTCTGTGCTGGGAGTTCTGCTCACTTGGAAGAAAGGCCTAAGCTGGAAGGCTCTGAGGCCTAGCTCTTGCTTCCCTTCCTGTTCAAGAAAGTAAGCTCCCAGCTATCACCTGGGCAGGAACAGGAAGCTTGGGCATGTTTGGGGGCTCTTGGGATTCTTGGAAATAGGGCCAGGGGTGCGTTTTCTCATGTTTTCCTGGAATTTTTAAGAGTCAAAATCATGAAAAAAGCACACCCTTATTTAGCCATGATCTAATCATTAGCACACCATAGTACTCTAAGCAGCAAGAGGTCCTGCACCAAAGTGGTGCTGGTGATAAATTTCTCCTTCTTCCCCCACGACTCTTACAATCAAGTTCTGTCCCCCACGCTCAGCCACCCTGCTTCGTTTCACCGGAGGGCCAGTCCAGATTACCTTTTGTGAAAAAATAAACTCTGGTGCCATCTCTTCTCATGTAGAAGTTCTCTGACAGGCAGAAGCCTAAAAGGGTGGGTGGGTGCAGGGAGACAAAGAAAGATGATTCCATTCTCACTGATAATTCACAAGTAAACAAACAAAGCACTCCTCTCCCCAAGCATACCTTTTTTAAAACGTAGCTGAGTAACATCGTATCTTCCACGGTCTCTGAACAGTATCATCCCTCCAGGTTTCAACAATCTGGCCAGCCTATTTATAATTCCTTGGGTCCTGTGAAGAAAGAACAGCATCCCAGCCCCACAGAAGAACATAAAACAATTGCCTAAAGCACTACTACTACTACTACTACTACTACTACTACTACT